CTGAAGGATACAGGTACAAATGGACTTCTGTGCCTTTAGGTTACTAAAGCGGTCCCTAAGAAGACGTTGTCGGTGTATTGTTGTATGTTTGGTTTTAAGCACAAAGCTAGCAACCACATGCTAGGTTCTCTGAAGGATACAGGTACAAATGGACTTCTGTGCCTTTAGGTTACTAAAGCGGTCCCTAAGAAGACGTTGTCGGTGTATTGTTGTATGTTTGGTTTTAAGCACAAAGCTACACAAGGAGCTATCTGTGCTGTGCTCCCCATGGGTATCTAAGCCCGGTTTTAGCGTTATAAGCCTACAGCAGACTTACAGCTGATCCACTGAGGGGGGGGGGGAGGTAGTATACGGTTCAATGAGCTTTGTAAAGCATGTAAAAGCGAGGTGGGAGGGGCAGAATAGGCCTCATGCAGTGTATTGGGGAAAATCTACAGTGGAAATTGCGTTGCAAACGGACAGTACATGCCCAGGTCCATCTCAAGAAACATCAATGATAGCGAAGGAAGTTGAAGAGCCTAGGCATATATCCTTGTTTTGTTACCACAAATGACGAAAATTCTTTGGTAAAAGACGCTATTATTATCTAATTAAATAAGTTGCGAAAACACGCGATTTAGGCAATAAGAGAGTAGAAAAATACGTTGTACATTAATTCAAACGTACTATACGCTTACAATTTGAAAGTGGAACGAAATAAATCGAGAGAAGATGTTGGTTCGTAGAAAGGAAAATATTTTGTTTATTTCAAAAGTCTATTGAATTCCAGTTTAGAAAATTAGCTTGTTTTCGCCCCCACCCCTTTTTTACGTTTTGTTGAATGGTACATGCCATACTGCAAATACTCACAAGTTATCTAAACAGTGCTCATTAATGACAAAGTTCTAGAGACGGGAAATTAAAGGTTTGTCTTCTATTCGTCACGGAGTTAATCTTTGTAAGCTGCGTGAGATTAATAACTTGTCGCGTTTAAAACAAACTGTGTAGTAAACATTGCAAGTGAATAAGCAAGAGAATTGTTTGTTTGTTTGGAGTTAAGCACAAACTACATAATGGACTATTTGTGCTCTGCCCACCACAATATAGAAACCTGGTTTCTAGCATTGTAAGTCCGCAGACATGCCGCTGTGCCACTGGGAGGCAAGCAAGAGAAAATTTATGTTGAATGTAAAATGTTGATTTAAGCACAGTTATAGAAGTTCTTGAACAAATATATAGGTAGGTGGCACCACTTACCACTTTCAGGATGTGGTGAACTGATTTTCTCTGTTATTTCTAGCTTGGAACGGATAACTTTGAGATTTTGTTTTCGTTTGTTACAGATCAAGAATATATCAGAGGAAAATTGTGATGTAATACAATCGTTAAGGAAAACGCCAAAATTATTGTAAGTTATGCAACATGTGTGGAAAATTAAGGGAATGAACATTTATAACTAAAGATTCCCTATCAACTATTATTATTAACTGAAAACAATTGAGTAATGTTAAGCTACAGAAGTTGGGTACGTGTTGTATTAAACCGATTTCGGGGCCTCACCACGTCGTTACAGTCCATGTCACCACGTCCGGCAATACTATCTGACGACCGTGCGTCTTGATAGTAGCCCTGCAGCGTAGTTTCCATTGCAGAATGCTATGTCGAAAGGGTGTCATCTCAAAAACACTCAACTCTAGTGTATGAGGACAGCGCTTTCCCAGAGCCCATTACAACGGTCGAATAGCACACAAAAACCATAGAGGCTGGGTCCGACGACTTGACCGGTATGTCTTTGTATAAAATAGAATGGGTACCAGTTTCATTTTCCAGCTGTTTGAGGCATACAAAGGTTGAAGGAATATACTGAGGGAGCAGTTTGTGTCACTGTTCTTCTGGACATTGATCTTTGTGTTCGTGGATTTTCACTTGTTAGAAATACACCGTACTTTGCTTACCAAGGCTTTGGTACGACCAGTTACAGGTCTTTTTCTGGATGATTCTGATGCTCAAGTTGATCCATATACCTTTGTTTTCCAATGCTATTAAAAACGAGGAATATTTTTGTCTAAATATTTTCTAAATTCTCGATCTAAACAAATCTTTGTGATCTGACTGCATGTACATTTTGCATCGGAAAAGGCTGTTACATACCCTTCCCAAAAACAGTCAATATTTGGTGGCATCACACTACCCACATCAAGCCACACGATGCTAAAATGTAGTTCTGATACATTCCGTTCCACTGCGACATTATTAGCTCTGCCTGTCATGTAAATTGCTTATTTATATATTCAAAACCGTTTTAATATAACGTACTCAACCTGTTGTATTCTTTTTTTGACAGGTTTTGCGCAAAAGGAAGTAAACCATGAACCTTAAAATTCACAGTTAGGGCACACTGGCAACTGGACCACGCTTGGCCCGCTTAAAGCAAGTACAATTTTCTAAGGATTCATTCTTTGTTAGATAAGTAATCCAAAATTGATTAGTTTTGAGACAGAAATTGACGAAATTATGTCATTGTTTAAACTTGTTTGTCTGTTTGCTTAGCGAACGGCTACACAGTAGATCATCTACGCTTTTTCCATCACGGGGGATCGAACCCCAGATTTTAGGCTAACAATTTCGTAAACTTACCGCTGAACCATTGGAGGGGGACAATTTTTAAATAGCATATACGTGGCTTTTATATATTAAACTTACCGGGCTAGAACTTTATTGGTCAGAAAAACAAGTGAACCAGCTTTAGAAATTCACTAACGATAATTCTATTCACGGATTTCAGGCTTCTAATTAAAGTATACATGCTACCGTATCATTAAATTTATATGAGCTATATATGGAATAAAAAAAGGAATTTTTAATGCAACAGTCGACAAACTTAGGTATTTTTTATCTAGAAATTATATGCTGCTACTTTAGAATGCCAAATGATGCATTTAAACAATCGTCAGATAATCTCTAAAAATCAACTGAACAGCTTGAGGATTTTAGACTCTAAATAGAGCGCCATCTTTAAATTGCCCAGGACTGAATCGTTCCTGTTATTATCATTTTATACTCTCAGTGATCCATACCGAGTCTAAGAATTATTCGGTTCGTGAAATAGAACATTTCACAGTCAAATTCAAGTAGATAACCTTAATTGTATAAAATAATCAGTGTCTGTTTGTATATTTTAGCACAACCCTTCACAATAGACTAACTGCGCCCTGTCCACCACAGGGAATCGAGCCCTGGATTTTCGTGATGTAAGTTCCTAAACGTACCGCTGACACATTGGGGGAACATGAGACTGTTCTCATTAACAGAGATACTTCCACCTTGTTACCCAGAATAGCATGTCGTTGTTATTATTATTGTAGTTTTAAAATATATTCGTTCTTTTCCAGTGCTCAGATTTCACTGTTTAGGCTTAGCAATTTAAAGTAAGTCGAAGAAGGTTGTTGAAGTCCAATTAAATAAGCTACCTACCAATGAATATCCCACCACCGAAAATTGTCGCCCTTTCAGCCATGGGGCTGTTCTAGTGTGACTGGTAAAAGAGTAGCCCAAGAGTTGTCAGTGAGTGGTGTTGACTAGCTGCTTTCTCTCTAGTCTATCGCTTCAAAATTAGGGCCGGATAATGCAAGTAGCCTTCGAGTAATAATGCTTGGGGACGACTTGAATGGGTAATGAAGAAAAACTTATATTAAAGTGTTTCTTCATTACCCATTCAACCCGTCTCCAAGAATTATTAATCTCAAAGTAGGTTCCTCGTAACTTAGAGTTAGTTTTGCGCGAAATTCAACAAAACAAATGAATCAACAAATAAAATAAAAACGAATTATTGGTGTTTTTGAACTTCATCGGCGGCAGGTATTTTTACATTTATGTTAGCATAGAAAAGTACCATTTATATAGATTACAATTTAGACTATGCAACATTATTGTTTGGGTAAGAATTACTATCTGTTTTGTGGGGTAAACGTTTTTATTTATCAAAACACCATAATGAAATGAATATCAGATTGTTTGTTATTAATTATGCACAAAGCTGCACAAGGGCTATCTGTGCTCTGCCCACCACGGGTATCGAAACCCGGTTTCTAGCGTTGTAAGTCCGCAGACATACCGCTGTGCTACTGGGGGGGCTGAATATCAGATACAAACTAATATATTGGGGTTCTATTTGGACTCAAGCCCGAAGCCACATATTTGTTTCAACAGAGCCAAGTAATTTTGCCATCTTAAGAACATTCATTATATTATTTTATTTTTTCACAATAGGCACCAGCTTTACAAGTATGGATTTTTTTTTTTACCAATACTTACGTAGATTATATTTAGAGGACCACTGAAGCGGGGCAACTTAAGACTGAGAACATACTGGATCTGACTCGTCATGACGTGGACAGCAGCTCCTGTTGTAAAACCACTGGCCAGTGGTGGAGACATTAGAACACCCACTTTTCCCAATCGCAATACGCTCATCAGTGTCTGAAAAAATTAAGTATTATATATTTCATATTTTACAAATGCATTGATATCAAAATATTTTCAATACACGATCTACACAGTGTCTGCTGCGGCTGGTGTGTGATTTATAATTCCACTAATTTCTTTTATAGTTATCTTCGATGCAGGAATATTACATCATCTGTAAAGAAACAATGACCATCTCTAAGTGATGTTGATATGTGGCAAAAATAACTTGGAGATACAGGGAAGCGAATGCACTCCGTGTGTATACAGAATATCAGTTATTATTAACCTTCTTAACAATCTGTATGTTACAAAAATATTAATTGTTCTATTATCTCCAAATAAGAACACATACAAACGCATACTTTTATTACATGATTAAATATGCACTACTATTAAAAATATATACTAGTGTTTCATTACAACACGTTCGTAATTTCTCCTAGGTTTCATTTCTAAACTGGTTTCCAGGCAATTATACAATACTTAAGCTAAACAACAGTGACATGTGTCGTGGTAATTTATCTCAGATGCCAGGTTCCTCTAAAGTTTCACTGTTGGAGCTGTTTAAAGGGATTCTGTTGTTCTGTTATTGTCGTTAGATTTTTACAATTGAAGGTGTAGTGGTAGCGCTATTCTGGTTAAGAGTTGGTTTTCTTAGTCTAATAAGTAACTTAAAGTGGTTTCTTCTCGGAAAAGGAGAATGATGCGAAAACAAACAAACAAAACAAAAACTGGATGTACGCACAAGTCACATTTATTTAGTGATTGTTGGTAATACTACTGGTGTTTTAGGTAGTGGTTGGTAATGTTACTGGTGTTTTAGGTAGTGGTTGGTAATGTTACTGGTGTTTTAGGTAGTGGTTGGTAATACTACTGGTGTTTTAGGTAGTAGTTAGTAATGCTACAGGTGTTTTAGGCAGTGGTCGGTAATACTACTGGTGTTTTAGGTAGTGGTTAGTAATACTACTGGTATTTCAGATAATGGTTGGTAATACTACTGGTGTTTTAGTTAGTGGATCTCGAAGTATTACTTGAGTCCACTTATTTCAATGGTCAAGTCCAGCGACCAATTTCGTCCATCTTTCCTTGTCTAAAATATCTTATTTTTCTCGGGACAATCTGTGGGAAGAGGAAAAAAGAGCTGTTACTGAAGTGTCACGTTAAGATAGCATATTTACATATACCATTAGTGGAAAATGGAGTATATGTTACATTATCATTGGTTGTTAGCTTCAAGTGCTCTCGTGAATTTAATGTTCATTGGACAACTTAACATCAGTATAAGTTAATTTTTTTACCAATCCTCCCGAATAACATCTTCTGATAGAATATGTAGTATAGAGTATAAGCAATCAACGTACATTTAATATCTGAGTAATGGTATACGAGTTCACGGGCCCCAAGTTCAATCAGGGACATATTGGTTCAGCAGTATTACCAACACTACCTAAAATACCATTAGTATTACAAACCACTTCCTAAAACACCAGTAGCATTACTAACCACTACCTAAAATACCAGTAGTATTACCAACCACTACCTAAAACACCAGTAGTATTACCAACACTACCTAAAACACCAGTAGTATTACCAACCACTACCTAAAACACCAGTAGTATTACCAACACTACCTAAAATACCATTAGTATTACCAACCACTTCTTAAAACACCAGAAGCATTACTAAACTGGACTGTGCTATGACAAATAAGCACATAATTATGGCCGGCCTGTATAATAATACTTAAATCTAATAGTTTACAAAGTTGTTTTTTCATGAATATTTCTTTTTTCTTTCTACATCAACACATCTTATTTCTTAAGAGAATTTTCTACGTTTCTATATGTGTATCTGTAGACAATAATGGTATCATTTTTGGTATATTTCAAGACGAATCAACTACTTGAAATAGTACAATAATTGTTCGGGTTCATGGTAATTCATTGTAATAATAATATATGTTTTCATATTTATAACCTACTGACGAAAGTTATACTTCTCAATGTTTATGTAAAAGATTAAGATATGCTAAAACATGCATTGATTTTACATAAGCCTAAAGAATTTGCGGCATTTTGGGCATTTTATCGTAATTCAAATGCTTCAAGTATTGAGAAAATATGCATATTATGAAAAGTTACATCTATGCCACACATATATGCATTAAGGAGAAATGTAGTGCACACTTAGTAAAGGCATAAAGGAAGTTATATAACGAATATTGACCAAGGAGAAAAGTATGTCATGAACAAATCAAAGATATGTTAACGAGATAAATGTTTATAATATCTACAAACTGACGCTATCACAACCGCATGAAAAGCCTCATTAGAGACGGGAACATTATCTACAGACTGACGCCACTGTAGCAGAGAGGAAGCTACGGGAGTTGTTTATATTAACTCACACGCAATTACTAAAAAAGGGATAAGTCGGAACTTTGATGTTGGATTCATATCAAAATGCGTGGAGAGATACAAGCGAGTAGGCCACCGATTTACCGACTTTATATGTAACCAATGGTCAAGTGGTTTTTGGTTCTGGTTCCGAGAATCACGATGAGATTGCAAAAATTAAACAATCAAGTGTCAGACCTACTTGCGAGCAGATGTGTACACTATCTGGAAAGTTGTAAGAACACCAGAACGATTCAAGATAAGAACTCCTGTTTTGGGCTATAAAGCTAGTCTCTCCCCGGCGTAAAAGTCAGTCTTCTGGCAGAGGATTGAGAGTTCTCCGAGGACCAAAACGCTGGTCGCTCCGGCGTAGAAGTCTGTCTCTACAGAAATCATAGAAGTTTCTCTGTAGCTGAGAAAAAAAAAGTCTCCAGTGCTGCAGAAGTCTCCAGTCTCTGAAGAAGACAGCCATGTCTACAATCATGCTGAGTGTGTCGAATGTTTCCTGCTTAAACTCTATGTAAGTAACTTATTGCTGTCTGTTTCCAGAATCGAATAACACAGCTAGATTGAATATATAGTGTTAAAATATGACTGAACCTAATTCAATCAATGTAATAATCAATAACGTATTGGTAGTGTTGAATAACTTAATGTAAGCTATTGAAAGTATGATCAAAGAACAATTACCAGTTCAAATTGACGAGTTTGATAGTTTTGATATTAATATGTTTCAAGATACTTTCGGTAATTTCGATGTAGCCGAATATCTTGATATAGTGTATTAAAAAGTATTGTTGTTTTCGAATCTCGGTCTCGGAGTCAATTCGCTTTTCTAACCGTAAACTTCCTCGAGTTAGTGACTTGTGTGCTCCACTTGCAACTGTATACCTCAATTTAAAAATTAGTGTGACTGGCGGTATAGTTGAATCTCTAACACTAGCCAGACGGCCCGCCTGTTACAAGCCTACCTTTTGCAAAACATATATAAGCTACATGTCAAAATATTATATTTTTGATCAGAAATTGGAAAGGCTTTTTACTTGATATTGTTTTTCTTACCTGAATTATTCCACATAGAAAAGTTATCGCTACAGCAACCTCTATCGCTGTTACAACAGCAGCAGAACTAATCTGGACCTCAGACACATCTGTCAGGTTCACACCTTCCGTTATGTTACTTGTGGCAGTAGCGACTCCTTTCGGGACTGAAGTAGCAAGACGTCCAACAACAGCAGAAGTCATCAAAGACAGTACAGCAAAAGTTCCTAAGTATCAGAAGTAAGTATCATGATCACCCATCAGCTAAAAGTTTCGGATTTAAGCAGCATAGAGTGTCTTAATTTTATGTATGCTTTATGATGAACTTCGTTAAATATTCCATAGGCAACAAAATTTCTTGATGTTTACAAAATTTGATAGAATAGTTTAAATTTATTTTTAGATTTTTATCAAACCGATAGAGCAACGTTTTCTTTGTTTTAAAAAAATATATATTTAGCAACCACAATACATTAATCAATTGAATATTTCAATTTCAACTTTTTTGAAATATAAACAATAAAAAAAATATTTTCATTCATGAAAAACTTTCGAACAGGTAAATGAAAAAAGATTTATATAATACAAGCTGAGGTACATGTCCTTTGTCCAGGTTATGAACTTAAAATAAGGGGAAATCCTCAATAGCTGCGACACTTGAAATTCTTTTAAGCCGGATTAGAGTAAATTAATCTATGAGACCTTTTTTCCTATTTATAAGTTATATTTTTGACGATTGCGCCAGTAATACCAAGCATGGGGCTCATGTATACCCGATTCGATGTTATTACTCATCAAAATCTCTACCAGCCTACCCTCAAATTGAAAATCTTTTAAGCAGGATTAGCGTAAATTTATCTCTGCAACCTTGGACGTGGTGAATCATATGAATCGAATGGGTTTGACATCCTGAGTCCAAAACTGTAGTTAGATCTCAAACTAGTCAGGAGAGCTATGAGCTAAAATTTTGTACATGAAAAATAACAACAGCCCAAAAACATTCTATGAGGTGCTGTACCGCGACTAAAAATGTGGGGGTGGATGCTATGATAAATAACACAAAAATTCTATCTTTCAAGCAATTTATATATAACATAACACATTATTACAGGATTCGTTATTACCTCACCAAAAGTTTGTTTTAAGAATTCAGTATGTATATCCAGTGCCTTGCAAAAGTGTTAACCCTCTACCAATAATGTCACATTTTGATGAAATACAAATAATGTAAACAC